AGCATGCGATCGGCGCGGCGAGTGGAGCGCTGGGAACCAACGAAACAAAAAGAAAGTGTTAGTTGGCCCGCTGCAAGAAAGGGATGATGGGCGCGCTCGACCGCTCACTTTCTCCCATCGCCTATGTGAGTAAAGGCAACTCCACACTCCGTATGCCTTCGACACCTGCGACCTGGAGCGGAAGGCGTCCGCTGTCGCGTTCATGTCTCGCAGTACCAATCGTATCCGATACTGAAGGACCCATTTCTGCATCGCGCCCCGTAGTACCACTAGAAATTACACGCATAGATACGATCAGATCCCAATGCACGGATAGGCCTCAAGCTGAGGGACTAAAAGTTACCAGGAGTTAGAACCTCGGCCGCTCTAGCGAGGACGACCGTGTTGTACTCTTTCGCTCGTGCTCTCAAATTGGCGTATTCCCTCCACTTCCTCACTATCTAGAAATCCATGAAACAAAATGAGCACTTCCTACTTGCCTCACAGCCCTCAGCATATCACCACCAAAACTCACCATCCTCCCGATCCTACCTTCCCTCCAGCTCGTCATCCGGTTGACCTCCTCCCTGCGATCCCGATTCCGTACCAAACGTCCATGCCACGTGCTCATGACATCCGACAAAAGCTCCCCGTAGTGTCTTCTGACAAAACTCATGAATAAGGATCTGAGACGCTCCCTGTCCGCGACGTAGGACTGCCAGGCGGTGAGCGCTCGTCTCAGTCGTACGCGTTCGGCATGGGCAAGAGACATTCGCCATTGAACTTTCGCCTTAGCAGCTGCGCGGAGTTTCTGCAACCAGATGGAAAAAAAATCCCCGCCATTAGAAACGTTCTTTGGTTTCGCAACTCATATGTGCGAGAAGGAGCTGTTTTCAAACCTCATGCCATCGCGTCCAGACCCAAACGGCTCTGCTGACGTACGAGTGACGGACGGCGGATTGCCAGCGCGTCAGCTTAGAAGACGCTTCGTCCGCGTATCGCCACCAGGCTCGAAGCGCCTTGTTGGCCAGTACGCGGTTATGGTGTTGGATTGCTAACATCTGTAGTGGGACGATGAGGCGGAGTTCGTGAGTTCCCCACGTGGCTCCGGGCTTGCAATGCGAACATGATATTTCTGACCTCCTTCAGTCGCATCTCAATTTGGAACCTCGCGTAACGCCTCAATATCAGAAGGGCACGATGCTGTATTTGTTTCTCGAACAATACGGATCCCTGATCGCGTGATCTTCTTTCAGTCGTCGATCCTTGATGTGTTCAATCGCTCCTTTCTTTCTCTCTCTCACCTGTTCGACCTCGAGTCGATGCTCCCTGGCTGCATCAAGAGCAGTGATCCAAACATTCCAACACCGTTGCATCGTCGACTCCTCGCAGAAGCGACCTGCTTCCCGTCGCTGGTCCCGTTTGCAACGGACGAGAGCTACATTCTCACGCAAGGCTTGCAAAGCATTGTGCAGGGATCGTCGAGATCGGAAAGCGGTGGCTTTTCGAATTTTTCTCTGTGTAATGATTCAGCATCGGGTCCAGGTCTTGCTTGCGACGACCACGGGGTCACTAACCCCTCACCTTCATAAGAGCGGTCTCGACTACTTTCCGCCTCCAGATAAAAAACGTTCTTCGGATAGAAAGTCCCGCAAAATGGTCGATGGCGGGTTTCATGTCAGCGTACTCACGCTCCAGCAGCTTTCTGTCGGCGCGGTCGCGCCAGGTGAACAGACATGATCGCAGCGTCTGATACAAAGGAGACGGACGCAAGGTTAGTGCCAACTCCTGTGGAGATCGTACTTCCAAGACTGCTGATACCTTCCCCCGTTGACAGGCTTCTGCCTTCGCAGAGTCACGGCGCAAAGACTTGAGAGCGTGCCATGTCCTGAGCTGCAAGGATGACGGCAGGAATAAGCTTATGGCCAAGGAGAACTTCAGTCGACGTGAGAATCGCCGTACCTGCACCGCTCTCAGGCGTTCCGATTCCTGTTCTTCATGCGTGATCCGATCGGAAGCGACAACATTTTTTCCTGGAAATGAACACAACCTTGCGTGAGATCTTCCGACTTTCTGGCTCTGATCGAGGACGCTCGTAACTCACGGCGCTTCCATAGAGACAGGGCCTTCTTGATCACGTTACGTTCATGAGTTCCCACTGCTTGTAGCTCCGCTTTCCGATCCTCGGCGTGCTGGCCGTGTCGAACCGTCCAGGTGTGAAGCGCTGCGGCGGCAAGTCGGCGATTCCGAACAACGCTGGCTTGATCTACGTGAGAGTCAGAAACACCGAAATTTCGCCATTCCACCTCTTTGACTTTGTCTACCTTTTCGAAAGCTCTGTCGACGCTGCTCTCCGACATACTCTTTCCAAGCGTGAAGCGTCGCACTGGCCTTTCTATTGGCATCATGCTGACTAGCCAACCGAAGCGCCTTTAAGTTTCCTTCCGCCAGCAGGTGTTGAGTCTTCCAGATGACGAACGCGTCTCGGAGGATCCGACGGGCGCTCGCGACCGCGGCCGTCTCCTCTGCTCGTTTGCGAGCCAGATTCTTCGCCTGTCGGTCCCGCCACGCTCGCACTGAGACTATGAGGACCGTCAGGTCGTGAAATCGGACCGCCGTCAGATGAGACGAACGTTGTTGTCTTCTGTATGCGAGGAGGGCACGCCAGGTCGTCCAAGCCATGCGCGTGTGGCTCAGGTTGGCTAGAGTGACAAGCCAATGTCAGAAGTATGAAGGGAAGCCAAACTGGGATGAGAAAGTTATCTTACCGAGCCGTTGACATTCCGCGTGTTGTGTTGCTTTCGAGGATCGCATCGCGACGTACTCTCTCCAAGCGATCCATACCTTGCGGCTCTCGACGTACCGATGATGGACATCGGCCTTGACCTCGAACCGCCAGTCAAGATGCCGTCTCTTCGTCTCAACCCTCCATATCGCGATCGCCCGTCCGAGCGTGACGCTTGCGTGCATGGTCTCTGCCCTTCGGATGGCGACCTTGCGCATCGTGAACGCCTTCCACTGCCGAACCGCAGTCGCTATCCCCGGATCATAGGCTACTGCTGCTTCTGCTGCTGATATCTCCGCGGTCGCGATGCCGTTTGGGAGGGAAAGGGTAGGACCGAGACGGTCGAGTGCAGGTGGCTTCCTCTTCCCACCCTTGTTCTTTGCCATGACTGGAAGACGGGAGGCTGGCTTTGGAGCTCGTATTTGGATTTCGACGAGTGGCGAGGTAACCCTCTTTGAACTTGCAAAAGGTTTCTTTTGCTGTCCAGGAACGTCAGTCTCGGTTGCGGTTGCCGGTAAAGAAGAAGGTGGCAGCTGCTCCTTGTCACCGCGAGGGCCCGTGGTGCTAGTGGGTGTCGTGGTGCTCCAAAGTTCCTGACCAGGGATGGGCTTGCTGAGGAAGCCGGCCAGTAGTCCTCCTTCCCCCTTACCCCTTCGCGAGGGATCCCCTCCGTCGTCCTCTTTCATGGCATGTGCAACTTTTCTCGTCGCTTGGGGATGGGTTGTGGGAAGGAATCCGTGAACGACGAGGAGGTGGGGGGGGGCAGGATCTTGTCCGGCCCTGTCGGACAGACCGGGTTGATCTGTCGAAGATGACAAGTTAATGACGACGAAATCGGAGACGAGGGATCTTCTTCCGCGCCTCACCACAACCGAACCCGAACCAACATATCGCATATCGCAATGACACCGCAAACAGTACATTCGGGAGAGGGAGGGTCATCCTCACCAGACACGCGAAAGACGGTCCTCATCACCGGATGCAGTTCCGGCATCGGTCGCGCTCTGGCCCTGAACCTCCACCAGCGGAAAGGTCCCGGCGGCGTACGGTTTCGCGTTTTTGCCACAGCAAGGAAGCTCGAAAGCATGAAGGAGCTCGCCGCGAAAGGCATAGAGACATTCAAACTGGACGTCACGAACGAGCAGTCGGTCGCTGCACTGCTCGCGGAACTGCAGGTGAAAACGCCCTGGGGTGATAAACCTTCTCGAACGCAAGGTTATCGATGGCTAACCGATGTTTCCTTTGCGAATACAGTTGCTTACGACGCATCACGGGCTCGACTATCTTTACAATGTCGCCGGTCAACCATCCGCCACTCCAGCACTCGACATCGACATTGAGAAGGGCCGCGGGATATTCGAAACGAACTACTGGGGAGTCGTTCGGATGAACACGACATTCCAAACTCTTCTCATCCAAGCCAGAGGCACCATCGTCCATATATCGTCCATGGGAGCCTACATGCCACTCGTACTCAACAGCGTCTACACGTCATCCAAGGCGGCACTCAACGCGTACAGCAACACCCTTCGCTACGAGATGGCACCTCTAGGCGTACACGTCATATCCGTCTCCACGGGTGCCGTCAAGACCGACATCGGATCCACCCAGAAATACAACCTCTCCCTCCCAACTGGATCCTTCTACGGTCTCGGCGTGGCGGAACGGACCTTCAAGCTGATTACGGACAGCATGGCCGCCGGTCAGAAGGTGGACAAGTACGCCGAGTCTGTCGTGAGTCAGGTTCTTGGACGAGGGAGGTGGTACCATCTCTGGAGCAAGAGGGAGAGACCTGCTCAGATTTGGGCTGGGGCCGGTGCCACCTCCCTGTGGTTCGCCACGTTTCTACCCGTGGAGATCTTCACGCTTGTGCAGGACATGTTGTATGGGTTCAGTCGCATGCTGGCTACCACGCAGCGGAGGAGGTTGATGGTGTTGAGAGGAGATCCGGACGCGGGTCGGGAGCCCGAGCCGAAGAAGATCGAGGTGGAATGATGGGGAGGTGCGCTTTCATCATGTATCTATGCAACAACTATTTGGACGGATGATCTTAATCCCATGCTTTCTAAGCCGCTTTTCCATTTGATTAATTGCGTGAACGGCCATCAGAAAGGAAAGGATGGATGACCTCGTGACAGTTCAAGCCTTGTTCAGATTCCCAAAAAGTAGTGAAACCAAGCAGCCAAAGTTCCTTATCGCTCGGGATACAAAGACAAGTTTCCTTACAAGTCACATCGATCCCATAGTGTAGTGGTTAGCACGTTGGCTTTTGACGCCAAAGACCCGAGTTCAAATCTCGTTGGGATCTCCTAATTGCTAGCATTTCTTTTTACGCGGATGCATGTACGACATACGTCAAACTTTTGCTGACGGACAACAGGGAGTACGATAGTAAATTGCAACACTGACGCTTCTGATCGACGCTTCTGGTAGACGATGCTTGAACTACCGGCAAACTAATACAACTCCTGGATTTTCATCTTCCATCTGCTCCCCTAACGGCGGTAGGCAATCAGGCCGTAAACCGTGTCCTCGACCATTGGCTTCGTATGAGTCGGAGCGAGGTGCTGAAGGAACGATGCTAGGCATTTGCCCTTGCCGATCCGGATCATGAAAGCGACGACGATGGACTTGCGAGTCTCCTCTGAGAGATTCCACTTGACGCAAGACGGTTCTGCAGAGACAAAGGCGAAGAGCTTGTCATATGCGTCGCGGCCCACAGAATATGCTGGTACGATCACACGAAGCTCGAGTTTGTGCTCGATCTTGGCTATGTTCGCTTTGAAAAAATCTGGAGTGATTTCAGGAATGTGATTACCCACTTCGATGGTGTGAGGCAGAGGAGTGTCACAATCGGTTGGGTCTCCTTTGAAGGCGATGGCACGGAAGGAGAAAGTCGGATGCGAGATGTTACCCTCCCAGACGACTTCGCGGAGACTGGTATGGTTGGGTGCAAAGAGGGCCATCTGTTTCTCCCTGTCCTTGGTCAGTTGTTCTTTCAGAGCCAGATAAGTCCGGTCAGGCCAGAGCTTCCATATGCGTGGGACTCCTTCTGCATCCTGATTATCTGTATCATCAAACTCGTCGGAGTCCTCTACCAAAGAGTCCGTCCATTCCATGGTTGGAGAATCATGTTGTGCGGGGGAACTGTCAAGTTAGGACGGGGTGAGATAACTGATTCCAGGGAACCTCCGGCTTGCAACACCTTGCATGTAGTTACCTTCTTCCTTCCTCCCAAACAGCCATGACAGGTCGTCTCGGATCATCAGGACGCGGGGACCTCGAACGAGAAGTCGCCTGCCTGCCGATGGACGAGGATGGTCCAGGAGACAAGGAACGACAGCGGGATCGTCCGTGGGAAGCAGGAGACCTATGAGTTTTTGTGAGACATGTTGTCAGAGTTGTTTTCGCTGAACGTGCTTCCATTTCGGGTCTGGTGAGCTGCAACGATGTGGTGAGGCAGCTTTCTGGGGATGAGATGCCCTCGTTGTCCGCGCAACGGTTTTGACCATGACCTGGACGTTCGACAGATCTTCAGCGAGTTTCTGTGCCCGTCAGATCTGACCCACCGACAAGAACCCGAGGCTTTTCGACCCTCTCGGTGTCCGAAGCCTGGTACCGTGCGGTGTTGTTTGCGCGACCCGTTTGATTCGCATTAGTTCCATATGGTCTTGATTGATTGAAAGCAAAGAAATTCATGATATGCTGTTGCTCATACAAAGGGCAGGAGACCAGTCGCGTCTCGATTTTCGACAGACCGGTAAGTGCCTATGTCATCCTGGCAGCGAAGAGGTGGGGAGCGGGGGCGCGATGTTGAGGACGGATACCCGAACCCGCAAGAAACAAGAAATGAACAACGAGTGGAGGGGATTAGAGGGTTGAGTGATGCGAGAATTGGGGGATGGGAGGGGGAACGGGAATAGGTGTGATGACAATCACTCGTATCCTACCAACTCAGTGATAGCCTTTATTTCCGAAGAGGCCGTCCTCATGGGAGCCCACTCCGCCTCTGTCTCGCCGTCACCCTCGTTCGATGCCTCCACGTCCTCCGATCCCGGTCCGACGGGAGCACCGCTCAATCTTGATTCCGAGGACGACGAAACGCTGGACTTTCGTCTTCTGAAGGGACCACCGGTCGATTTCTTGCTGGATGTCATGGTACGGACCGGGGAGCGTGCTTTGGAGAGTGGGATGGTGGTCGCAGTGGAAGTGGCCGTGCTGATGGTGAGGCTGGACCTTCTCGTATGTGCTGCCTTGCCGGCGTGATTCCGTCTTACACCGTCGCTGCCATGGTCGGTAGGTCCCGATGGCTCTCGTCGTCTTCTGGGAGGTCTGTTCAAAGGATCCGGCTCGGATTCCGTCGCGAACCTCGATGCCTCCGACGGGGTCGTCGCCGTCCCCGTCGTCTGAGCTGTGGATGATCCAGATGATGGTTTGCCGTCGTTTCCCTGAGAGGATCCGGGTGGATAGACCGGGTTCTCCGTGAAGGGAGAATGACCGATCCTGTGACCGTCCGGACCCAGTGTCTTCCAGAAGCGTTCGACGGCGGTACCGTAGTTTCCGAAGATCTCGTCTCCGGCCTGGATATCTCGAGTCGTCATGCACAAGATCTGATTGACCGGGTGACCTTCCCAGAAGACCATGCTGACCCGGGTCGAGTCTTCGTTCATGAAGTGGAAGGGACAGAAGAAGTGTGGATTGTCGACCGGGTAGGGTTGTCCGTCGTCGTCGGTCGCGTCGATGACCGTCAGTCGATATCGATGCTAGAGATATACACACATAGCCGGTAAGAGCATTGTCGGATACAACAATAGTGAAAAGGTACACGTACTGCGTATTGACCCGCGAGACCCTTGCTGCCTTTGAGAAGATCAAACTCGTCCTCGTTCATCGGTACTCCAAAGTAGAAACCGATGCAAGTCAAAGCTGGTATGTATCGTTTCGCAAACATGCCCCGGCCCGCATTCGGTATCTGTCAAAGGTTGCTGTCCCGGTGAGTTCCAGTCCACCTCTACGCAATGATCGCTTGTCAAACTTACCGTCGACTGCTTCACCTCCAATAGGTCTCTCAACGAGCCAGGGATGTCGTCCGAAGGATCAGGCACGAACGGTGTGATCCTCAGATCCGCCAGATGAGCCGCCTGCAGCTCTTCCAACATCTGTCGCGCTCGGACCTCCTCGGGATTGTCGGACGGTACCACCACGCCCGTCATCAATGTCGGGGACGTGGCTTCCTCGTCTTTTTTCAACTCCTCCTCCTTCTTCTCCTCCTTTTTCTCTTTCTCCTCTTCCAGGTCAGGTTCCACTTTTGCGTAAAGCGGGAACGGCTCTGGGCTCAGAGCACGTTTTTTCGGGGACGGAAGTTCTAGCTTGAGGTCGTGGTGTTCTTCGTTCTCGCGCTTTCGCTTGAGCAAATCTTCCTGACCCTCAACGAATGTATCTTCCTGTGCCTTGATCCCCCAAGCCTCGATCCCATCTCCACGTTTCAGTTCCTCGCCTTCGACGAGCTCGACATCATCGCCCAACGCTTGTTCCGAGTTCATCGACGGCTCAGCCTCCACCTTCACGCCTCCAAGGGCATCCGACTCCACGACGTCGTCTTCGTTGACGAACGCCGCCATTTTCTCACGCTCTTCCGCCGCGGCCAAATCTTCCCTGATCTTCCACTCGGGCAGCTCGTAGCCCTTCTGGATCCGCCAAGCTAGATCGTCCTGCTTTCGTCGCTCGCTGAACAGGTACGGCCAGTCGGTCTTATAGAGGATGTCGAGCCACTCATTGTAGTGCCTGAGCGCGGTGTCAAAGTCTCCGGGTTCGTACGCCAGACGAAAGTGCACGTGCTTCTGACCCTCTGGGATGAACGATTCAAAGAGCTTGTCACGGTTCTCGGTCAGGATTCCGCTGGCCGTGTTTTGCGGTGTCTGAGAGCAGGTAGTGTTGGTCAGAAGGGGTTTCCGTCATCATCAACATCAAAGGCACCAAAGGACAGCCCAAGCTCACCTTTCCACCAAAGAGCGGAGGCACGCCGAGCTCTCGCGACTTTTCCTGGTCGAAAGCCAAGGCCATGGGGATGAGAACGCCACGAGGCAGGGGCTTTCCGGCCTTCCTCAAGGCCAGGTGCAGGAGATACGTCTGGTTGTACCATCGAGGCTTGTCGGTGCGAGACACGGACTGAGGTCCGACGTGGGTGTAGCGAGGTTTGATGATCTCTTTTCCTTCTGCCAGACGAGCACGGTTCCGCGTGACCCGACCGACGACGGGGGTGGTGGACGGGGATGAGGACGAAGGGTCGCCGGACTGACTGTTTGCTGCTGCTGCTGCTGCTGTTTGGATGGGTGTGCTTGGCGTGCTGCTTCCGGAACCGCCGCCCTCGCCGGTGGTGGAGGAAGCCCTTGAGCGCGGCTTTGCGGTGGGAGTATTCTTCTTTTTTGCCGCCGCCGAGGAAGAAGACTTTCGCTTCTTTGCACCGAAGCGCTTCGAACCCTTTGAACGCGGGGTGTCGTTGAATCCCGTGTCGGAGTTCATTTGGTTGAAGGAGGCGGGGGGTGCAGCAGCCCTCTCCGTAGGAAGAAGGTATGGGGTGTCTGGCCAGAGAGGTTGCGCAAAAGACAAGACCAGGAGCAGAGGTTGCGAGATAAGGGGAAGATGGTGCGGCCCACACAGGAGGGCCTTGCAATGCTGATCGGAATGGACAATGGCGGGTCCCTAATGTCAACAGGTCCAGTATGTGGGGTGCACATGTGTGCAGAAAGTCCGAAAGCACGACGAAATGGACATGCACAGCCAGCGGAGTGTCAGCAGCGAGCGGTGTACGGTACAGCACCCACACACACTGTCCAAGACCGAACCAACCTCGTTCGCTCCCCACCGCGATACATGTGCCGTACGTAGTTCTCCATGGATAGGATCCCACCCATCATGAGCAGCGAGGTCGAGAGACCGTCAGGGACGGGCCCTAGCTCGTCCAGCGTCTCACAACCCACAGCGACAGCAGGACTCGCTTCCTCTTCTGTCAATCCGCCGTCCGTCGCATCCCCGTCCTCCTTCCTCTCCCCCGAAAAACAAAGACCAGAACCTCTCTCGGTCCAGACGGACACCGCCGCGCAGAGGTTCGTGCCGCCCTCCCACGCAGGAACCTCTCCTCCCCGCTACTCCCCGCCCAACGACGCCGTCAGAGAGCCCGACACGGCCGCCGCCGGGAGGGACACCGGCACCGCCCAGCTCACCAACAACGGCGGAGAACCCGACTTTGACTGGTTCGCTCCGGAGAGCGGGCCCGCAGTGGAGGAGCAGGTCAAGGAGTACCACGCC